CAAACAAGGATTCAATTCAAGACAGTAGTTTAGGGTTAAACATTTTTCTTGTTGTGGAGCCAAATCATGTTGAAAGGTTGAAATCCACCATCAACGGTCTTCGGAAGCCAACAGAAAACGACGTGAGATTGATCTACGTTGTTTTGCCTCAGAAAGGACGAGGCATTGGCGTAACCAGGTCCATTATCAAAAGCTTAGCTGAATGTTTTACTTTTTCTCTTTACTGGACAATAGATGATAATATCCAGTTTATGTATTGGTTTGTTGAAGATGATCGCAGATGGCACAAATGCCCACTTATTTCGGGCCTTCTTTTTGGGCAACGGGTGTTTCAGAGCTGCTTGGAGAAGTCTGTAAAACAACTTTCTGATAAAGAAAGAGATCAGCTTTTCATAAGGACTGTAGAGGGTTGGGAAAACTGGGCCAAGTACAGCGACGCAGGAAGAAATGTTCGGAAAATACTCTACAGTGAGGAGTCGTTTTCTGAAGTGCAAAAGAATCCAAACCTTTTGAATGTGCCATTTATCAACATTTCAGAAATCTGTGGGGGTGATCCCGTCAAAGAAGTTACATTAAAAGCATATAAGCGTGAATTTGTTGATACTTGCAGAAAATGGCTATTTGAAGACACCATCAACCATATTTCGGGCGTCTCCCTTGCGCATGTAACAAGTAAAGGATCTGACTTGATGAGCAGGTATCCAAATGCTGACTATATGCGCTCTGAACAGCTGTCGCAAGTGGTTTTGAACAATGGATTTGCTTTGAAAGGAAAGAATTTCGTCAGTGACGAGGTGATTTTATTCGACGGAGAGTCGCAAATTTTCGATGAAGACAAGTGCAATGACCCTTACTGGGGCATAAAAGGAAGCGAAGAATCTTTCCGTCGTGCGCTCCTCGTCAGTGGTGTGGCTGGCTATCGTGTGATTCGAATTGTATACAAGGACAAGAAGCTAAGGAACGCTTTCGACAGGCCAGGTTCAAACTTTACATCTCAATGGTTAGACAGATCTCAGGATGATGATATGGATGAAGACGTTTACATGGGTGACTAATCACGGCTGGACTACACATTCTTACACCTTAAGGAACGCAAAGTTTAGATATCTAACAGACGTTCGCGTTTTTTACTTGCCTGTAGTTAGGCTGTCTATACCTGAGGTAACAAACTTCTGACGCTTTTTACTCTTGTTTTTGCTGACCAAAAGTAATGAGATAAGACGTTTTAACTGATATTTCACGTTTTCTTCGGTTCAAGTTCACATAGTCCCTTGAGGTTTCAAATTGGATACGTCCAAAAGTTGTGCAGTGAATTTTGCAGTTTCACTAAGAAACGTTTAACTTTGTTAGTTGTAACGTCTTTTATATCCTATAATGCCAGTTTGTACTTAATAGAATGTCTAATGTTTGCATGAGAAGTCTTGTGCGAGTGAAATATTTTAGTCCTTGCTAAAAGGTATCAGCTTGTCTGTGTCTTGCATTGGGAGAATGATAAAAAGACTGATTGATCGACCTATTTAGGGCATAAGTCTTTTTGAAGCTTTACCTGTCTCAAGTGGCCAATTCCGAAAGTGTTCGTTGCAATGTTGTCAAATAATTAGGGTACTTTGTACTTTTGAAGTTATGTTCAAAGTGACACATTTCATCGTGAACACAGAGGGTATTGTCTTTTTTCCTTCAGCAAAACCTTTTTATCATAGTTGTTATATTTACCAAAAGCCTGAATAATATCAAATTTTTGAAACGCGCTAACTTGCTAATCTGGAACGACCATTGTAGAAGTGATCTTCATTTTAGTTCTGCAACTTTAATATATTTTTGTAATTGTAATTAAATGACCAAGTGCATTAAGAAAAAAAAACATTAGTTCTTAAGCTTGAATAGGTTTGTTTATGAAAATGTACTACAGAAACAAAAACAAGTCTTTGGGGGTGGGATTTGTGCATAAAAACAATCTGATTCGTAACTTTTGAGTTAACAAAAAAAAAATTGGAAAGGAAGGGATATAGTTTTGTCATCATCATCCAGTTTGCTTTCTAGTTTTATGGTATTTTATTTCTTTTTTAACCATTTTTTTCTTTTGTTAAGAAACCCGTTATTTAGTGTACGTTTGCGTCTTAGATACGTTTCTTTTTTCAATGAAATAACCACCTGACGTACAGTTGTTTGCTAGTTTTAGTGTCACTTGCAGCAGTAGAGCCAGGGCTTGTTATTAGATTGCAGCTACAAAAGACGGTCAGATGATCTCCAGATGTTTTTACTTTTATTGCGTTATTGTTTTTTAAGCTAACTGTCCATGCCTTCACAGTAGAGACTGTTATAAGGGTATTAGGGTTGGCCAATTGTAAATATCCTTAGAAAGCAGTTCTCTTGAACACTGACTAAACTCCGTTTTGATTAACCACTTTAATAGTTCAGCTTAGTAACTGCAACTTAAGTCGTTATGGTGCAGTGCAGAGAACTCATCCAGGGCCACCAAGACCTTGCAATTTTACTTTTTTTAGGTTCTCGTTTTTGATTGTGGACATTAACTCTGCTTCGCCTGTTAAAGCTCGTATAGCCCCGGTAGGGTTGATTGTACTGTATACGACAATCTTCCCTCTTCAGCTTATTGTTTTTAGTAATAAAGACAATCCTATAGTTATTGTGTAAAACAACATTGGAAAGGGAATGAGGAGATGTGATTGCGGTGTTCTTAATTACACAGACTGCCTTGTCCTAGGTTTTACACGTCATATATGTAATAGTTTAGTTTTAACCATTTTTGTGCTCGATCATTCTCTTCTCTCGATTTACCAGATTTACTAGACGTTATACAGTAGAACCTCGAATAACTCGAAGTCGGATAACTCGAATTCCCCGCTAACTCGAACTAAATTTTTTTCCCTCGATCAATATTGCCCTGAAATTTACCCCGATAGCTCGAATTCCCCAGTAGCTCGAGCTGTTTTTTGTTTCCCTGCAGAGTTCGAGTTATCGGGGTTCTTCTGTAATAGTGGTAGAAGTTAGAATTGTTTGTTGTATCGTAATGACCAGTTTGTAAGTTCATTTTTAGTGGAGGCTATTATCTTCTTTTAGGGCTTATACATTCAATGCAGAAATGGGGGCCAGCGGATATTTCCATCTTGTATCTTATTTCACGTGTTAGTTTTTAGAACGAAGTAAGTTAGGGTCGATATGTATTTTAGTACAAAAGAAATAGTACCAAACTGGCCACCATTTTTGGATTGAAGAATTTAAGAGACGTTATTTTGATTTAGACAACAACTGTCCAAAGAGTTTCTTGCTTCAGATCCGCTCTAAAGTACATTTTGCTTTTCAAAGTGGTTATACAGGTTTCTATCTCAAAATGACTAAGTAACCGTCACTATGTTTCAATTAACGTACAAATGAAACAAAATCTTTGTCATTTCAATTGAAATGCTACAATTAGTTTTGTAATAATTAATTTTGAAGGCTAGTTTATCTGATCCCGGGAAGTAGGTCTCCATGAATGTAACGTTGTAGCACCTTTTTGAACGTAGAATAAATGGGTTTTGTTGTCACATTTGTTCCAGTTATCAGTTTATGTCACCTTGACGATGAAATTTGAATTCGACAAATAAGGAAAACCAAATGTGTGGTGAATTGCTGACAAATTTGGATAATGGTGCATTCCTGGATAATAAGAAAGCGTTTGCAGGAATTAAGTATAGCATATTAATGATCAAGATAAATGAACGATTTTGTATTATTGGTTTGGCGCTAAATTGGTTTAAATTATTCTTGACAAACATGAACTAGCAATGCATCCCCCTCAAGGCTCTATTTTAGGGCCAGATTTGTACATTAACGGTTTTTCTGACAGTCTAACCTGAACCATTCCGTGAATTTATGTCAATCATGATACTTCAATCTTCGCTTCCTCTTACGATGGCAACGAACTTTTCGTAAAGATTAACTCTGATCTCGCTGAAGCTCGCAAGTGCCTCATGGAGAATAAGTGTACCCTCTAAATCAAAGCTCTTGTTCATTGGCTCCTCCGATAATCTGAATAATAAGGTAGGTGAGCCAAGGGGTTCAGATAGAAGAAAAACTAGCCGGCGTTACAGACGTACTCTAACCCCGGTTAGTAACATCTGCAAAGCAGTGCCGTTATTCTTGTTCTGTGCCCCCAACGGACTCGATGAATTGCCTGAAATGCCCCCGATTAGCGAAGTGACAATGGCTTTTTTAACAGGCTTATGATGCCGCGTTCTCAAATCCTGGTACAGAAGTGGGTACCCTGCCAGCAGAGGTTTCTCTCTTGCATGGCCTTTAGCGTTTACGAAGTCGTTCGCGTGGCTGGTCTGTCGCGTAGTTGTTTTGTTTCCGCCCTGCTTCTCCTCGGCAAATAAAACAAACCAACTGCGCGACTGACAAGCCACGCAAGCGACTTCGTTCGCGCTAAAAGCTATGTAAGAGAGAAACCGCTGCTCGCATGGTAACAAGTGGGGGCCCCGAACAAGGATAGCGCCATGACACTGTTTCGCAAACGGTCTTCACCCGGCACCAGTTGTTCAAAAGGTGGATAGCGCTATCCACTGGATAAAACACTTTCCAGTGGATAACGCGATTGGTTTTCATAATAATTATCCATGGGATATCAATTTATCCGGTGGATAGCGCTATCCAACTTTTGAACAACTGGGGCCAGAGTTTAGTTCCGTCTGTGTCACCAGCTACATCATACAAGTATAACCAAAATTTGGGGATGTCAATGTCGACAAATGAGCGCTACTATTCATTTACGCAGTTGGGTAGTAGGGTATGTTTGTGTGTCAATCAGTAAAATCCGAAATTTGTAAACTGGCAGACTTGTTTTCTTTTATGAACCAAAAACCCCGCTATTCAGTAAACGTTGCTTTATTTTTTTACACTATGGCTTTACCGCCGTTTTTATTTAAAGCCTTCAACGAACAACGATCTGCATACACCTAAACTAAAATGGAACAGTCCCCGATGCAGTTTGACTAAGTTCCTTAAAAGTCAGTTTCTTCATCATCGCTCGTATCCACAGCTTGGTTAGACCTCTCAGGATCTGCGTCTACGTTCGCTAAGATGTTTGGTTTCTTCTTAGTACTTTTGTCCCTGTTCGGACCATGAATCTCAACCATGTTCTCTCCAAGAATTTCCTTGATCATCACCTCAACATCGACACTCGGATCTCGTGTCGGGGTTTCTGACGAGACACTAAAACCTTGGGGGGTTTCTTTGGTTTCCAAAGAAAATTCAGCCTTTTTGACATAGTGTGTTTCAGCGCATTTTGGGTCATGCTCGGGGAAATGATGTGTTCTCCTCCTTGGTCTCCTTAGTGCCCCAGATGTTTGTGATGCACTAAAGATACCACGCCCATAAACTTCATCGGTTTCTTTTTGTAGTTCGTCTGTAAACATGTCATCTGCGCCGGCATTTTCCACCCCTAATTCTGTAAATTCCTCGTCATTGACTGAGCCTCCTATAGTGCGAACCTATTAACAAAATTTTAACACTGTTAGTACATATACGTACAGTAAGGCTTTATTTTCTTACACGTCACCGTCTGGTTACTGGGTCCTTTGCAGCGTGCAGCAGGTTGGTACATAAAATTATCAACCCGCGGGTGTTAATGCTTTCAATTAGGCCTTGCTTATGATCATGGCTAACAAACAAAATGAAACAAACCTCAAGATCGTCTCCTTGGACCTGGTTCCTTTCCATACTTTGATCACCTATCTCCTCAGTGACATTTGCTCTGGTGTTATGAGCCAACAGGATAACACCGACACAGCACTCCCAGTTACACTGTGGGTTCTTGTGGACATTGTACAGACTCCAACTTAACGTATAGAGATAACGGACTAAGAAATGAAAAGAGAAAACTAACATTGAGGACTTTCTTAACAGTTTAACTTAATTCAGTTTGAATTATTAAATTCGGATTACTTATATTAACAAGTTTGTACATCGAGGGAAACAGCCTTCTCAATCTGCATAACTCCTTACCCTTTTTTCGAGGTTTAGAGTCTGAACGGTTTAGTTTTATTCTTCAACAATCCGTTGCCATTCATCGGGTAATAATTTGGTGTTTTCCGCAACCATTTCTCTCCGAATATCCGTGGACTCTTCGCCATTTCCTCAAGTTTAATTTGTTTGTTTTAAGAACATTCCGTTGCCTGATTCATTTGTGTCGCATGGTTACCTGTGCTGTTTGCCGTAAAAACGAAGTTATACCTAACAGTGGAATGGTAGGGAAATCATTGCTTTCATTTGTCTTCTTAAACAAGTTGTGTAAAATAGTGTTTATATGTGCCTTAGAACACGACCAAGTGTCTTAATCTTAACCTTAATGTTCTGAACGAACCACAAGGACCAATTTTCAAGAAAACACTGAAAGGACTGAAAAAATGTTAACATAAGTACGACAAACGATAAAAGCAAAAAAGGCACATATATAGTTGTTGCAATAATCTGCTTAAACATATATAATACCCTTAAGTACTCACTCACTACCAGCCCTATCACCATGACATTGGCTGTTACCAGCAGCACAGTAACTCCAACAGAATCTTTGTCCTTTTCGATAGAAAAGTTGACCATTTCAGAAGGAATTCGTAACAGGACGCCCACACTCAGATTGAAAAAAGTTGCCACCAGCGATGACAGTTGCAACAAATGCTCAAACTTGTCGGGGATTGGACGAGCCTGTGCATGCGCGACGGCATAAAACCCAGAAGCCATTGCCGCCATTCCAATGTAGGTTCGTCCTTCAGCGCCGATTAGCGATAAGCAGGAAGTAAGAATCAACTTTCTGATCGTCTCCACTATTTCCCAGTACCAGCAGCGCTCGTTGTAGTTCTCATAGATAAAGCGCATGCCTTCTACAATCTCAAACCGCTTTGGTTGTGGGTTGAGGGCGCTGTTTTTGATATGACGGCGGTAGTAGAGGAAATACAGCACCACCACAATGAACAGAGGAAAGAGCACTGGGTAAATAGAACCCACATAGGCTGCAGTCACGTATTTGTTGTAAGTCTTATCGAAGCACTTTAAGCTGTAATCCATCTTGAGGTAGTAGGTACAGTTTTTCATATCTATATCCTGAGTTCCAATAACAGTTTATTAGTTAATGCCTACAGACAAGCAGTCTCTTTTTAACTTAGCAAAGTCACTCTTGCTACAGTCGAGCCTCCATGTGCGACCACCTCCCATAAGCGACCACCTATCCAAAACAACAAAATTCTCCCAGCGAAATCACTTCAGTTAAACCCTTCGGAAGAGACTTTAGGCGACCGCGACCACTTTTAACCTGTGACTGTTCTAGAATTTTCCATTGTTTTTAACTTAACCTCATAAGTTACTAAGCATAAGCTACTGAAAGTATGCAGTTTGGAGGCATTGCTAACTCCGATTAATAAAGTTTTTAACAGTACACAGTTCCTCAAATTTACCAAATTCCGATTTACAGTAGGCTTTGTGTTAGAAAGATGCTTTTGTGGACCCAAACGCGTGATATGCATACTGACTAATTCTTCGAGCTACTAGTATTCATACCTGGCAGATTTTGTGACATGCAGGGGGGAGCATCCGAAGAATCCTTGAACTGACTTCTGGAAACGTAATAAACATGACCAGGAAGGCGCTGCGATAACAGCGCACTTTACTCAAAGAAATTGCTCGAGCCTTCTCCTCAGCCGACGTGTCGTTGTTGAGCCTCAGTGAGCAACAGAAAATGGACGATAAAAATATTACACAGAGAAACCTAAATTTGAAGCACCAGCAAGTGTCTGTTTGTTTTCCATTTGAAATCATTATCTTTACCGGTAAAATTACTGTCATCGTCCGGAGAATTATTTTATCATCAGAAAACCATTTCCCATCATCACTGTTACTACTGTCTTCACTTGCTCTCACTACAGACTGTATATAGTTATCACAGCTATAATTTTCATCATCATCACGATTTTCAGTCATTACCATTGTCGTCGTGAACTCATGATAAAAGAAACAAATTATTGTAGTGTCTCTTTTCTATTGAAAAAAGGAAACGTCATGCACAGTTAATGCATGCACGTTAGGTTTCTAAACAGTTTTTGATCAAGGCGAATTCTTCTGGTTTGAACTAGAGTCAACCATGGTCATACCTTATCATGATTTTCCGGAAGTGGAAATACGTAAATGCCAGTATAATGACTCCTACATTCACTGCCACAGTTACTGCAAGACCGACATAGGCGTTCATTTTCAGACGTTCCCTGAAGCAGTGAATGGGAGCGATCTGAACCAGATTCAGTTGAACGAATTTGGCATAGTTACTGAGTTGGAGAAGAGCTTCAGGCCATTGAACATAGGAAAAGGCGTCCAATGTCCCAGCTGTAACCTGAAAATAAAGACACGTGAACAAGAAACAGTATTATTGAGCTTTTGAACGACTATAAATATTGCAATAATGATAATAATAATGGTGATGTTGATGATGATGATGATGATGATGATGATGATGAAATTTAGGATTTTTTTCATGGTCAATTAGAACTGCGTGACAGCCATCGGTCTGTTATTATTCACGGGGTAAATACCTCCACCACTCCACACTAGTCACTTGAATGAGCTTTTCAGTGTAAACATACAATAAACGTACCAATTAGGGGATCGAGGTGATTAGTCGCACATACTGAACCTTTGGACTCATTCACTCCTAATACTGGCCAATGCAAAAAATATCGATTAAAAATCCAAGGTATCGTTTTGTAAAATGCTGTGAAATAAATAGTACCATGCAAACATTCAGTCAAAGAGGTCTCATTTCAATTGTAACCGATCATAGGATACTCGTCACAGATTTAAGAGTTAAAGGGACAGATAATCTCGCAATAACTTGGTCTAGAAGGGAAAGAGATAAAATGAACAATCTCGGACACTCCGGCCGCGCAAATGTTTGGATGTTTGGGTGAATAAAAATCCCAGTTAAGCTTAAAGAAAAAAAAAATTTTAAACTGAAGGATAAGAAATTAAAATATACCTGGTAAAAACCAACGACAATTTTTAAGCGCGCCAGCACTACGTCAGACAACGTACGTCCTTTGCCCTTGGTCTTGCTCTCGTCACGGAAAAGAATATAGATCAGAAGGAAAATAACGCAGACAATGAACACCATCTGTGTTATCAACCAGGGTAAAGTAGGGCACTTTGTGCATCGTGACATGGACTTGTAATATCCTTTGACGCACACCTGAATTGAAAGAAAAAGTTTCGTTGGGGCTGAAAATAACACATTAAACTGTATTCTCCACAACGTTTGAAATAATTATCATTAACAGTTATTGCTCGAGCCCCCTGGGCTCTGAGTCAATAGCCCATGAGGCCGAAGGCCGAAGGGGCTATTGACTCAGAGGCCATGAGGGCAAGAGGAATAATTGTTTTAGTAAAATCCAACTAGTTGGTGAAAAATATCGAGACAAAACAACTTAAAGCAAAACTTTAATTTTTTTTGCCGCCAAGAATCCAGCACTTTTCGCTTTTAGTGGGCTATAACATATAGCCTAATAGTAGCTCAACCAATCAGAACGCAGCATTGATAATAGACCACTAGTTGGATTTTACTAATTGTGTATATACACCTGTCAACATCCAAGTCAGCACTAAAAGTATGCAGGATGTTTGTCGCATGAACGTAGCTCAATTAGCCTTAGCTCCCTCGAGTGTCCTGTAGCTGAGTGGTAGAGCATCTGTACTAGTATTCTAAGGGTCATAGGTTCGACTCCTGTTGGGCAACACGGATATTTCCTACGAGCTCCCTTTATCAAAGACTGAACAATCATCAATCCTATAGGTTCACCAGGCTTAAAATTCACATCGCATTTATATCACTGTTACACACTATTTGTACAATCTGCCACTTAAGAAACTTGGCGAACACAAGGGAATTGACAAAAGCATCACGAGACTGCTTTCAGGAGACTGAAAGCATTAAAAAATCATCAAGAGACTGTTCTCCATCCAACTTGAGGTACTTAAAAGATGGTTGCGTACAATAGGTGGTCCTCAATGAGAGTTCAACCGTTTTTTAATGGCTGTCCGCTAAGTTACGTGAAGTGGTCGCTTACTAAAGGTGGTCGCACATGAAGGTTCTAATGCATCTGCATCCGTATCTGATTCTGTATAGACTATTGGCTTGTGCAAACATTTAGTGTTACAGCGCATACCCCTCGTTCCAAGTCTAGAGATGCGCTTGAGCCTCGAAAAAATGCATATATTTTAACTAATTCTTACCTCGCAGAGAGGTCCTCCGTAGCCTTTCTTGCAAGGTTTTCGGACGGAGTTGAGGAGTCCTAAACATGAAGCTGCCTTAGGGCACGGATAGGGCTTGGGAAATATGCCCGTAAAGTTCACATCTGCGTGGTTAAACTTTTCATCAGGGGTCATTAAAGCGTCAACAAATCGTTGATATTCCCAGCTCTCATTATAATCTCTGAAACTCCACCAGTAGCCTTCTTTGACCAAAATGGTCTCATTGCAGAGATAGCCGCGGACGCCCTTGGGACACGCCTCACACTTTGTAAATCGGCCTCGTCGGTAGAACGTGTCAATACAGAAGCAGCCCCGGTAACTTGCCCACTCGTCGGTCTTAGATCCTGTGTAAAGGCAACTTTGTTTTAAACTCAGACCGGTTTCAACGTTTTTTCCCGTTGAAAAAACAAACAGTTTTGTATACGGTATCTCACTCACATTTTTCAGAATGTCATTTTGGGAAATCGGAACAAAAAGCTGGCTGCCTGGCTGTCGTTTGCATTAATTCTTTAGCTGATTTACGCATGTGTTTGTTCCATGAATTTTGAACAAACAATTCGAACGAGGGAGTCTTGCTGCTGTTTAAACTAATTCTGCAGATTAATGCAAGCAAGCGTCTCCTACACAAATTTTAAATTGACCATTCAAATGGTTTAAATACGATCCAACATTTTGTTTTATCAATATTTGAATGTAATCACCTTCTACCATGGCTATGCCTTCAAAATCCCGCTTAAACCGTTTTTGCTGACGTATTAACGGCCTGTTACCAAATCGGTGTTGATTGTTTGCCTTTCACGTATTAAAATCAAACCCAAAATTTATTGTGTTTGCTGCTTTAACTGTTTTCCGAGCTAAACTCACCATAAGCACACCATAACGTGTCATCGAGTGACAATGAACGTTTGTACAGTTTCATAAACATGTATATCAGATAACACACCTCCAGGGCACACGCGGCAAGCGTACTGATGCTTTCCAGGGAACTTGTCAAGCTCTACAAAGGTACCCTTAGGACAAGGCAGGCATCCCGTCTGTCCCGCCAAAGTTCCGGAATGGCCAACAGTATTCTGGTAGAATCCCCCTGCGAGAAAAGCTCAAGGATATTACCAGACATATAAAGACATATTATAACGCATGGAGGCGATATCTATAAAGCCAGGGATATACCTTGGCAATATACACAGAAAATACTGTCGCACTGATCACTCCTTTGTTTGCTGGATATAGTTGTTTGATCTTAAAAGGATACATCTCTTGTTTGCAGTATAGTTGGGTTAATTGTAGGCAAAAGCAAAGAGAAAGCGGGCCATTTTACAACAAAAAGAGGCTTTTTGTGCGATTACACAAGTATCGTTTAGGGAGAACTCCAAACAAGTGTAAAAAAAACCTTGTCGCTTTTTTACCTCCTAACTGAATTTTAGTTTTGGTTCTTGTTCTTCGTTCTTATGTAGAAGTTTGATGAGGAAAAACAGAAGAATGTTTTTATTAAGACTCTGTTAAAACTAATTCAAAATTACAGATTACAACAGTTTTCTCGACTTATTTTTTAACTGTTCTTCCTGTTGTTACCTGCTGGACACTCGATGCAGGAATGAGACCCATTGTGAAGCCTCTTTTGGTATGTTCCAAATGGGCAGGGGGTACATGAAGTACCGTTACATGTGAATCCACTGCGTGCCAGTCCTTCCCGTAGACGATTGTCTCCAGGAATCTCGAATAGGAATATGCTATCGGTGGGAGCACTGCCGAGATAACCGCAAGGTTCAGAATTACAAACGATGTTTATGATGAATGTTTAAAGTTAGAGTAAAAAACTAAAGCACAAATGTCGGTATCTTTCACTTTTTACCTTTTTTTATGTCTTTAGGTCCGAGCAATTTGCAACGAACACATTTCATTTCTGTTGAAAAACGTTGTAACTTACATAACCACTCCCACTTTCCTGTGTCGCTTGAAACTGTTCACCCTGATTCTTACAAGAGCTGTCTGCAAAATATAGCTGAAAGATAAGAAAAAGGAAATTGAAACTAGGGCGTAAAATGGAGTACATGCCATGACAATCTGAGCGGGGAATCAGACTCTCATTAGTTTGTTGCAATAGATCGCTCAAGTTAATTGAACACTTAGTCGGGCTTCTTCAAACGTGAAAAATATGATTGTTGATGGAAAACAGAAACAAACATCCTTTCAGGACAATGTTGAAATAGATTTGCAGCTCAAGGCGTCCTCTTCCGCTTAGATGAGGGGTTGACAATTTGCCTAAAAATTAAATGATGAGGTAAAGAAAATGGTGGAAATGGAAGAAGCAAAGAAATTGTCTTAATACATTAATTTTTCCGGTTGCCAGATTGATTGATTGATTGATCATCACTGTTGGTGCTGAGGGTTCGACTAAACTACTACTGACTTAAGTACAGTCGTGCCAAATGAAGGCTTTGTTGCTGACTAACGACGAACCACTGATAAACTAACGATGTGCTGATGGACCAACGGGCTAGCTGAAAGTGACAGACGGACCGACTGACGTACTCTGTGACTGGCGGGATGACAAAGAACCTACCTGGCTAAGTGACAGAGTAACCAACTAACTGACTGACAGCAAGAGTCGCAGCCCCCATTTTCTAGATCACGGACTCATATTTTCAAGTGCCATTCACTTACGCGTCATCCCTACTATCTCAGTGAGAGCCTGGAACAGGCTACAGCAAGAGAGGATAAAGCCTCCTCTCTTTTTGACGAATAAAGTGATTAATGAGCGAGTGATTTTCAAAGACGCTAAACTAACAATTAAGAAACGTCTGATTCTACAGTAGTTGTTAACTAGTAAAGGACAGTGACAGTGATTGTTCAACTGATAGAACGGCAATCTGCTCACCGTGAAAAACGGACAAACTGTTTTATCAAACCAGTTAACTTCTATCCCTAAGCAAAAGGATTACTTACATAAAGGACAGGTTTCCGAACTCATTGTAGGCAAATGTATCACTCTGCATATCTGCCAGTTCAAAATTGTTGGAAAGAACTCTTGGGGAGAGAAGGCCGGGATAGAATATAAGTTAATCTGCTTGTATTAAGTCTGCCTTAAACAAACCGCACATTTATCTAATTGGAAGTAAAGCTAACGATACTCTCACCGAGAGGGGGAGGGGTGGTAGGAGATGCTACTCTTGATAATAAATTAAGCCCATGTACGGATGAGAGTGGGGTTGTCTATCCTTGGTGCTCTGGTTTAAGTAGTTTATATTCGTCTATTTTTAGCTTGTAGGAATATTTGAAGTTAGGTTATGTTGACCGGATTTATCACATGTATATCAAGGAGATTTTCTCTTAGTATTAATTTCGAGCAGCTCACCAGACGTCAACAGTCCTATATAAAGAGACCTTCAAATACACTGTGTCTATGAACAGGTATGGGAAAATTATATACCCGTATCCGTATAGCCGTAAATAGGTGTAGATTGCCTCTCACAAATAGAAACGGTTAGGCAATGATGGCATTACCACATCAGGCAAATCATGGTTGCCTTCTATATAGCTGCATGTATGGCAAACATGTTGGCCTAGCAGTAATCGTAGGCAGAAACGATGTATCTTAAGGTCCCAACGGTCCCCGTCAAACCCCTAAGGGAGACCAATGTGGGTGTGACTCAAGCTTAAACTGATCCCTAAGGGAGATTTTTGTCTGGTCAGTGTCAGGGCATTTATTTAAATTTCTCTATGCAAACTACTAAGCTATACCTGAATGGCCCTCACTGAGACCAAAATCTTCAATCTACAGTGCACTCCAAAGCGAGACGAAGGGCAACCCCACTTTAATGTGGGAGTCCCCCCAGGGGGAAACTGTGGAAAGAGATGGGGATTCCCCTGCCTTTTCCTTTTCCTTCTCCTATTCTCCCTTTTCCGGCGTCAGTCAGAGCTATATGAACATTTTTTCCCTACGCTGTCAGGACACCAACGTAACGTTCTTAACTTAACTACTGCTTAAAGGTGATGCTACGCGAGACGATTCGAAACGACGATTTTTAGCGCAACAAAGCTTGGCAACATTGTTGCGACAATGTTTCGAACAGTTCCAACTTTGTTCCAACATTGTAACGCTATGTTAAAATAAAATGATCAGCTTGCCACGAGCGTGCGACAAAGAAACAATCTGAGTCCCCGACAAGATTCGAACCTATAACGTCCCAAAGATCGGGAGGGCGCTCTATCCACTTGAGCTACGGAAGATTACGGAGAACTCATGGAGAGCGAGGCGATGTATTAGGTTCATATTTGACACGCGTCCTGCATACTGCTAGGATCAGCAATGTCGATGTCGCACTGTGTGATGAAAGAATGAAAGATGGTAATTTTTTAGGCTCGGTTAAAGAAATGTGCACTCAAAATCGTCGCTGCCAATCGTCCCGTGTAACATCACCTTAACATTCTTAAGCAAGTTTGTCCAAAGGCAAGGCAAGAACGCAGTTACGGTAGTCTGGCAATATTTCTCTGGATATCTTCTGCTGATTCAATATTTCTGAGGGAGAGCTAGATAATGATAGTTCATTTTCTTACAGCGTTTCTAGACTTGAGGCGCCCTTGAAGGTTTCTGGTCCAATCATGGAAAGGTTATTGTTGTTTAGGAATCTATAAGCAAAAAAGGCTATAACCAGTCCAGAAATTCATACGACAAACATTCAGCAAAAGTGCTTCTAAGAGATAAATAGAATTAAATAAAAATGTAATGGAGAAAAAAATACTTATCAATATAAAAATATGTTTCTAACACATGTTTCAGTCTCGTCGCATTTCTGAAGAAATAGTCAGGAATCAATTTGATTTCGTTGTGCTGGAGAAACCTGCAAATGAGGAAAGATAGAAATGAATATTGGTTTATAAAACACTAACACATGGTGCAACATGAGTGGGATAGATGTGGCCAACAGATGATGGTATTCTGAATCTTTCGTTTAGGAGCAACTGTTTTGTTTGGTCCTTTATAACGCCCTGGTAGGTGTGCCGTTTGTAATCACATGTACCGTATTATCCACTCCCCTCAGGGCTTTTTAGGGAGAATTTACAACACTGATTATAGAAATTTGCCAGATTGTTCAGTGGCAAGTCCAGAGAAGGAGCCCGCCTTCCGGTTCCCCCTTATGTTTAGACCAAACTGAGGCTCGAAGGGCCAAAAAATTTTTTTGGAGACCGGGCCCCCCTCCTTATCTCAGAGTCTGGCCGGGGTTCGAACCAGCGGTCTCCCGGGCAGCAGACCGGGTGCCAATCCAATTGAGCTAACTGGGCTTAGCGGCATTGATTGTTTATTTCAAAAACAAGGGTGCATTTTTTAGAGGACGCTGGCGTTTCAGGTTTTTGGTCATAAAACTTTCTTACATGTACTCCAAGTTGTTTGTGTCCCTCAGCAGATGGTCTTTCAGCTGGGTTAGCTTGTTCATGCTAAGCGACCTAAATGGCAGGAATAATTTTGTAAGAACGTGTGTAAGAGTTAGTCTTTTATGATTTTTTTCCCTTGAAATCTACAGATAACAGACTTAACATAACTGTCCGCCAGTAAAAAACCTCTGGCTTCATGTACTGCAGAATCTGACCTTCAATGTGCGACTGCCTCTCATGCAATAAAATAGACGGAAACATTCTCAGACTCTTGATTATGCTCTCTAGAATATATTAAGAATATGAAAATAGAGTCACATCAATTGTCGGCCTTGTTGGCAAGACCTAGGGTGAAGAAATGTCCGCAACATAGTTGCTCTCTAACTTTCTTTCTTTAGGTTTATTAATTATAAGAACATAATACTATGTGGTGCATCGTGGGCTTAAGTACTTGTGTTCCCTTTTCGTTATAAGGTAGAATGACGTCAAAAGACAAAACAACAACCATATAGGCTACTTATGAGATACGCACAAGACTTTCAGCTGCGCTAGTCCGTGGAAGACATCGTAAGGAAGATCCCAAATTCTGTTGATGAACAACCATCTGGAAAAGTAGAGCAGAACGCCTGGTTACAAATGTTAGGCATCTGTCACATTTGCTGTCACATTGTCACATCACTCTAACGAGTTGCGCATGGGCAATTCTATTTGTCTTCTCAAAAGATATTTGACTTGTCGGATAAGTGTGGCCAAAACAGGGATTGAATATGGTATTTGAATCTAGCGAGACCCCAAGTAAATACATAAAGGGGACGATCTTACATGGCGGGGCATAGACACTGTTGTCCTGAGATGTGTGATATCACGCATTGTTTTTCAGTTAGACGTTAAAAAACCCTTTTTCATAGTTTGCGAAAATGGCAGGCACGGTGTTTCTGTTTGGGCATTTACGCTTAGAAGTAAAGCTGTTAGAGTTCTCAGATCTTACAATGAGAACATTCGCGATCCAAAACTAAATCAGTCCGCAGCGCACTTTACTGAGCCAAAGAGCGAATTGACACGTAGTATCAATAAATTACCCCTTGAGCCTTGGCAGTGTTTCTTTGTGCAGTTTGTCTTTTTAAATTGAGATCACTACGGACAGGAAGCGCGAGAGGAGTCTGAGTAAAAGCCGTCGCCCAGTCAGTCTGTCGTAAATCCGCTTTTCATTATTCATCAAACTCAATTCAATCAAAGAGAGGTTACTCTTCTAACAACCAGCTTTTGAGTTTGGTGCAGATATAGTCTCGTAAGAAAAATAGAGAAAATGGCTTTGTTCGATTGTTTGTTTCTTTTTTTTTTTTTTCATTCTCTCTCCAAGAGAAGTTTATTCTTTTACGTCATACTTACAGATGTTTCAATCCTGGCAGGTCTCGGAAACTCCCGCTTTCAAGACTTGAAATCTTGTTTTCATGTAAGTACCTGAAAACATGGAAATAAGAATAGATGCAGGCGGGCGAGCTGACAGTTCTCGGAATCGTCTACCTTATATATAGTAAAGAACATTGTCATCTTACAGCGTTGACAGCTTTGGCAATCCGTTCAAAATTCCTTCTGTGATAAAGCTGATTTCGTTTCCTGACAAATCCCTTGACAAAATAAAAATTAGAAATCGCAAATAAACAACCTAAAAGCTGACCATCCCTGGTGATACTCCTGGAAAGTTCATGGGGGGGGGGGGGGGGTCTGGCTCTTGTTTTGACGCCCTACCACTATTTCAGATCCCATTTATGCGATTTTCCCTATTCCATTTCATTTTCTAAACCAATGTTCTCGAGAGAAAATGAAAAACAAACAAACAAAAAACAAAACAAAAACAAATCTTTCTCAAACTTTCTAGCTTCCCATACTTCAGACTCGAAAGGTTAAAATCTTTACCAACATTCAGACAACTGAGGGTTCAAAAACCACTTGTTCGCTTTGTAGGTGCACATACCTAGATTTCTAGATTATATGAGGGAAAACCTCCAGGGCACACAACAACTTCGTCCGCAAGGCTTGTCCCTTGAAATGTGGGAGGGCTCCCTATCATGGTGAGGGTAATCAAGGCGATCTGGGAGGGAAGTTGACTATCCAGCCGTGCTTTTTAAGAACTTACGTAGCTACAGAGGGCTCTCACATGACGTTCTTTGTCGATGCGCAGAGTGGGTTTTACTTGGCGGCCATTTTCAAAGTTTGCTGTCAGATGGGGTAGGGTCTGGAAATGAGATTGTTAGCGGGTCTAGAGCAGTCAGAATTTTTGGAGTATCCGATTGCCTGCTGGCGGCAAAATTCAAATGGCCACCATGAAAACACACCCCACGCGCCCGCGCATCGACAAAGGAAGTAAGGTCTTCGGATTCAAGAACCTCCTTTGCATTAGCAAGGCCTGCCAATTTGTTAATACGACAGGGCTCTTTATCATGATCCGTTGTTTCCTTTTTTCTACTTACAAAACTTCCAAATCTTTTAAATCGTTAAACAGGCCTTTCTCAAGATAGGCGATATTGTTCCTTGCCAAATTCCTGTACAGAGACAACCGTTAAAAGTGTTAGTAAAGATTTTATATAAACGTTGCTCCAGGAGCTGACTTGAACGTTGAAACGATGTTCACTTGATGTCTGCCGCTTAGGAAGACCAAATTCGCCGTTCTATTCTCTAAAGGTGATGTTACACGGTACGATTCGCAACGAAAATTTTTAGCGCAACACAACGTTGCAATACTGGAACAATGTTATAACTATTCGAAACAATGTCGCAACAATTTTGCAGCGCTGTGTTGCGCTAAAATCGTCGTTACGAATCACCTGATGTTGCTAATCATCTCGTGTAACATCATTTCTTATGCTACTAATAAGGATATATTTTTTAAAAAATCAATTAAGACACTTTATCTGCGATTATTTATCGTTCAAAAGATATCTCCGTTTCCGATCGTCTTATATCTACCTACCGTTGAAAAACTTTAGAAGACGTTGTCAGACGAAAAATGAGTCATGTTTACGGATAATTGACAGAAAATGAGACAGTATAAGGCGCGGTAGCTCAGCTACTTTTGCTAGAGCTAATAATAATAATAATAATAATAATTATTTACTTCGGTTGGGAGTGCTTCAGTCAAATCGTTGACGTACAGGTTGAATAAGACAGGACCTAAAATAGATCCCTGAGGTACCCCAAAAAGACACAGTTATTCGTTCCGACGAGTGATCATCGATGTAAACGTACTGCAGTCAGTTAACTCATAATCCAATACAGAGAGGACTTGGAAAACCCTTGCTTATGAAATTTGCACAGAACTGCGTCATACCCAACTGTATCAAAAGCATTAGAAAAGTCTGCTATTATCGCGATGGTGACCTCATCTCTGTTCATTGCCTTGAAGATATGATCTCTTATTGCAAGCAAAGTACTTGTATTTGATTGGCCTTTGCGGTTTGCACTTACATTTGGCTGAAGCGCTGCAGTTTCCGAGAAAAAAATCCATCATTTGTCGTAAAGACGGTCTTTCATACACCTTTGATAACACAGGTAAATTGGAAACAGGGGGAAAATTGTCATTTGCCTGGGGTTCCCCCAGCTTCGGAATGGGAGTAATGCGTGCAGTCTTCCAAAGAGTTGGAATGTCCAGCTTCGAAATGTACGTATTTATGATATGCGTTAAAGGAGATGCTAGATGGTTTGAAACTAAATTGGTTGGAATGTTTTCCGGACCAGTAGAGCAGTCGGACCGCAGCGCTTTGATCTCCCGAAGAACTTCATGATGGGGTAACACTCTTCAGAAGCAAGGACGTATTAGGGTCCTCCGCAAGCGCATTAATAAGCCTATGCAGCTCATCCTTGTCAAATGCCATTGAGGCAGTGACACGCTCAGCTGTAGAAGCAAAGTGCTTATACAGTTTATCCGGATAGACGGTTATTGGTTGGTGGCTAGCGTGGAGTATGGATGGATCGTTTTCCATACTTCCATGGGCCGCTTAGACGAGAGTACATTGGTCATAAACGTTCTCTTTGCTTTCCTAATCCGCTCCAATCTTAAGACTGTTGCGCGCGTCTCTAAAGATGCCTCACGCAGCCTCACTGTGACGGGGTGTGCGTGCTTCCCTACTATAACGCTTGCATGCCTCCTGTAGCGTTCGAATGTTAGGATCATTCAACCAGGGCACAGGTGGTCTTGTCACCGTCACACGCTTTGGGGGCGAGTGTCTCGAAACAGCTAGAGAAAATGTAGGAAGTTTTCACACGTTTTGCGAAGAAGAGATAATCGATCTACGCCTAAAACCATAGCAAGAATAGCAAAAATACAACACGATGGATGACGACTGCTGTTGGAAGAAACTATTAAACATTTCTTTAGGAGCCTTTTTATCTTGAAACTGCCGGGGAACAGCGCAAATGTGTGATTATGAAGACTGTAACTCAGTTACCTAGATCGAGGTGATGAGAGCACGTCTCGGATGCTGTTATCGGCCAAAGCTCCTCGATCTCCCTAATTCTTTATATCGTACTTATCCTCATCCAATAATTTCAATAACTGGTTATTAATTTATTATGTCTTTTTAGAATTCTCCCTGCTCGTTCAACTTAAATCTTAATAACGCACTTTATGTTTGACCTGACCCACCATACAAATATAAGATCTTCATGACTCAATATTAATATTGTTCCCCGTGGAACAACTTACCCACATAAAAGCAAAATTAAATTTTTGCTTACAGGTTTTTTACTTTCTTCATGTCCACCATGTACTTCCGGGTTATGGTCATAATATTGTTATCCGCAAAATTCCTATAGTGACCAACGAATCAAAGTATAATTTACCATGTAAACTATAAAAGAAACAAGAGGGTGGTTTTGACATTATTGACAGATGTATATAACTGCCGGGTTGATATTTCCGAATACAGTAGGCCCAACGAGTGTTTCGCGCTCTTTTTTTTATAACATTGGTCAGTAACTGTGCACAGAATTTATAACTACAACTTCCTGAGAAATTTCAAAGAATGGAACGTTTTAGCCTCGTCCATTTTATATTAGCCCAGCATAGACATTAGTATATCTGTACTTTCCGTCTCTTTTGTGTATATTTGTATGCAAATATTCTTTTGTGTATATTTGTATGCAGTCAACTTTTATCTTAATTTATCTTTCTTTGTGGCAATCTTTTTGTGTAACGTTATCATTATTTTTTTTATTTTTCACAAGCACATTATCAGTGGTTGGAAACCATTGCGAATTATACTGCAGTCGAACCCCCACTAACGGCCACAGTCTTCACAACCGGCCAATTTTTTGGCGGACGGTCCATACATTGACTCTTGTTTAAACCTCTTTACAACGGCCACTTTTTTCCGTCAACAAGGTGGCAGTTGGGGAGAGGTTCAACTGTATATATATAAATGAATGTCAGTGCATGATGTGATTTACTTACACATGTGTACTGCTTGGTGACACGTCTTCAGGAGGGAGCCAATGGTTTCTCTTAGAACAGTCGGTTTCCACGAGGGAGGGGTCGTTAGAAGCCTTTGAGCAATGGCAATCGGATGGACACTCTGCAGTTACAAAACAGCCCAATATTGTTTTAAGATTTAGAGACCTTCACTTGTTATTGAGACTTTACATAGCATTTATTTGAAATTCGTTCCTTACCAAGTGACGAATCAAGCCTCCAAGTCAAAGCATCAACATTTCCTGAAACTATGTATAATCGCAAATGTCAGGATGCAAATGACTGCGCAAAATATCGTCCATGCCTTGGTTTAGTAAAAGCACAAGGAGCCCAGACTTACAACAGCCTCCTGGAAACCAACTTATAAGGATTTTGTATGTGAGTTTATCGTAAGATCGTTAAAGCAGTTAAAATGTTAAAACAAAACATTACAACTTGCTAAAATGGCGTTTATAGAGCTCAGGAAACAGTGAGAGGACAACAAAGGTTTAACACCTTGTATGTACATTTTAACCGTTTTAGCGATCTTACAATAAATTCCCATACAACTCGTTTAAATTTGGCTTCCATAGGCTTGTGAGTCTGGGCTCCCGGTAGTAAGAGATCTTGGACGAGTTCATTAGATCCTTCTCAACCTCATTAAAGTTTACTAGTGGACGAATCAAAAGAAAATTGCTGCCACGAAGGAGATCTTACATCTGCCTTAAAATTTTGACAAACTTAATTTACCCAAGATGTATTGTCACTTTGGAGGTGTACAAGTTTTAAAAAAAATAAATTTTGCAGTCAACCTTCGAACTTTTATGCAATTAATTCATTCCCAATTACAGTTCTTGATTTTTAGTTTCTTTCCTTTTAAGAGTTCTCTTTAAGAACATGTCTAGTAGTTACAATCAAGGACGAATAACGTTGGACGCGCGTTTTCACAAGTTTTTCCAAGTTTAAAATTTGTATGGGGTGAAGGGAGTGAGAACTGTAAGAACATTTCGAAAAGGATGCACTGTTTCATGAGGAGCCCAAAAAAAACAGAAAATTGTGAATACTTCATTACTGTCCCAAGGACTTCTGTCCATGATTGTAGTAGAAACTTCGGGCTGCAATATCAAGCGCAGCCGAGTTTTTTTAGGCAGACTCTGTGGAGTCTGGCTACCATTAGAAGAGATTCAAGGGGAATTTAACAAAATATTTATGGCAATTAAGACTGGTTGATCCAGCTTATTTAAACGGACTGTAACTGCTTTTCTGCTATACAAATGGAACTAAGTAACTTAATTTGCGAAAAGCCAAAAAAATACTGATTTGTCTTTTTGTCGTACATGTTTGAGAAATGTGCTGCCATGCATGTAAAACACCTCCATATATAATCAGAAATATTGCGGTCGCTCACCTAAATTTCTGAGGCAGAAAATAAGCACAAATGTTGAAATCCTTGGTAGGTTCATAGTGTCTTTTTCTTGATCTCTAAAAATGAAGAAGTGATTTTGATAATTACGCCTTTTACTTTTTTTGCCCTTGCTTGCTTCCTTTTAAATACGTTTATACGAGAGGCTAAGAAAGCTTCTCTCGTGTACGTCGATCCAAGATCCCAATTGAGACCGTACCTGATATAAAAGAACTTATTACAGAAAATTACCACCACACACTGGTTTTTCTATCAATGGGCAAACTTCCCTTTTCAAGTGATTACTCATTTTCAGCAAGATATGCATTTTAGGCAGATGGCCTAGTTATTCTTCAGATTTTCTTAAAAGACTAAGTAGACGTTGTTGATTTTCCTCCAGCGTTTTCTACCGGTTACACTTGAAACTAATCAAGGATCGCCAAAAACAACCGTAGTTATGTTAGTTCACTTTTGCTTATCGAAGTTACTTTAAAAGCGGAGAAATAACAATAAATCACTTTTAACGGAGTTTTTTTTCTTTTCTTCAAACACAGCTGGAATTTTTAGTATCGGACTATTCCTTTATCCTAGGTGTCAAATTTTAAGTCGAAAACTCCATAGAATTAGAAACTGACATGATGGAGGCAAACTTCCAGCCGGCTTTACAGTGACACTAAATAAGAAGTTACAGCTCTAACATGGTCTTACATAC